AACTATGGTTAGGACACACAGTTCTTCACGAACTAAACGTCCGCCAGCCTTCAAGTTAAGGCAAGGAGTAACAGGGGCCTTGGCTGTAAGCATCAGTTAGTATCCTCGGCCTATAATGAACAAACACAATAAAAATAGTCTAAGCACCTTGCCAAGCAGGAAAAGACAAGCCAGGTTGGACAAGGTATTACACCCCTTGCCTCGGTTTTCGGTAGTAGCAGGCCACCTCGGCTTCACCATACTTAGTGCGACAAAGGTCAAGTAGGACGCAACCTCGATCACCTCGGCGGTTCACCTCGACCTCGCTCGACCAATCCCTAAGGGGATAGAGCAAGCCGAGAATGTCGAGGCAACTCCCCTTCCCCATTGAGGTAAAGGGTCCTTGTTACCTCAGAAACATGGCTCAGACTTGACAACCCCCTTCTTTATTTCCCAGGTGAGACTAAGTGATAAGTAATGTACTCGCCCTAGAAAGGGGACGGGGCACCCCCAAACTTTAGTTTTTTGCTACTTGTGACCCCTAGAAAGGGGACACCGACCCCCGAGACAAGAGGAGAGAGAAGAAAGAAGAAGCAAGACCAACTAATAAAGGCACAAGATATGCAAAAAAGCAATGTTTCATTATATTCACTTTTGGCCCTTACAAAATTTAAGGCCTCAGATGGAAGGACCAGGGCCCTTTACAAAAGGATGAACAAAAAAGGAAAAAAAAGCAAAGGAGCGAGCTGCCTTTGCATCGCCCCCGATGAAGGGGCAACTGAGTCCTCGGCAGCAATAGTGTTGGCTGGGGCCTTAGGAGGGACCTCGGGGGGAAGGGTATCAATGTCCAGGAGCACCTTTAGCTCGTCCACTTAGAAGTCTAGCATTAGCCTCAGCAACTCATTTTTTGTATCTTCAATCTCTTCTAGGTAGGCTTCAGCCACATAGTCGGTGAGGCAGTTTTTCTATTCCTCCATCGTTTTCCAAACAAGGACGGTGCCTTTGAAGTTCGCCTCGGCTTCTGTTGCCCATGCCTCAGCCTCTGCAGCCCGTTTCTAAGCATCCAAAGCAATCCCATCAAGACGGGCATGCTCAAGCTCGAACTTTTTTAGTTCTCTTAAAGCCCAGTGGTCCAAGCCTTCTCCGCCTTTAGGTCATCCTCCATCATCTGTTGAAGTTGCTTCTCCTCTCCTAAAGCCGAGAAGGCCTCATCCCGGCTACTCTCAACCAAAGCCACCTGCACAACAAGCTGCTCATTCTTCTTTGCAGCCCAATCTAGGTGATCAAGGAAGAGTCCGACTCGATCCCCCAGGTCGATATAATGTCGATAGACCTACAACAAATACATCTTCATCAGAAAAGTTAACAAAAACAACGAGAAGATAAACAATGAAGCAAAAGTTAACCAAAACTCACCATGGCCAAAAAGTCCAAACCCTATTCCCGGACGACGAGAGGGTCGTCGTTCATCATGGTGAGATGATCCCCCTAAGGAATCACCCCTTTTATTAGAGCTCGGTCGATCCCCTCAACATCGATGGAGTCCCCCTCTCGAACGTCCCACCAGGGGCGGAACACTCGCCTAGCGACGAGCTTCCCCTCCTCCACGGGCTCTGACGTAGGATGAAGAGCAGACGAAGGCCCAGTCACAGGCCTCTTTGTTGAAGACTGCCTTTGAGCAGCTGCAGCCTTGCCTCCTCTCTCACTGACCTCGGTTGGGCGGTCCTTGTGCACCAATCTTTTCCCCAAAGGGGATGAGATGCCTCGGCTAGCCTATTTGGGCCAGTCTCTCGTTGCCAGCTCCCCCCAATCACCCCCTCCGCCAGTGGGGGCTTGAGGCCAAGACATCCTCTCGGTAGGTGCAAGCATCCTCTTGACATAGCACTCTCTGCCCCTACGAATGTGCCCTCGCTTGGGGCCTTCTTCTTAGCCAGAGCACTCTCCAACAGCATCCTCTTCGCGTCCATCAGCAGAAGCGAAAGCCAACGTGTCAAAAAGTCGACAACAAGACTTCTCTTACCGAGGGGAGCAGAATTGAGCCCTACAAAAACTAAGGGAAGATCTACCTCCATTAGGGGCTTGGCCCGGAGCATTCCCAATACAAGTAGGTGGGATCCCCCTCCTCCGGCATCCACAGCCGATCACCGGTGTCAGGGACCCTAAGTCTATAGGATCGAGGGATGTAGTACCTCTTAGCCAAGGATTTCACTTGGTCAAATTCGAGAACACTATCGTGCTTTGAGCGTGGCAAGCGCCCTATCTACACCCCTCGGGCAGTGTACTCAACCACCGTCCTCAGGAACCTCTTCCCCCACTACCACTTGGGGGGACCCCTCATCCCCCTAGGTGTCATGGATGCGGCACTCTCATAGGGAGAGTCCTTCCCCCGTCGGCTGCACTCGGCACCTCCAGGGGTAATCCTCTCCCTCAACATCTCGACCTCTCATCACGGGGTTGGATCTCGACTACCGAAGAGCCTCGGTCGGAGCTAGCAGGTGATGGGGTCTGGTAGGAGCTCACCCCCGAGGGACCCAGGATCGAAGTAAGACATGGTGGTGAGGTGTTTACCTAAGACGAAGACGAAGGTTGGTAAGTTCTAAGGAAGGCGATCTAGCCGAGGGCTCTTGAAGTGAAGGTCATTCGAAGACAAGAACTCAAAGAAGCAAATGGTGAGAAAAAATGCGAATAAGGCCCCTATTTAAAGGAAAATGGACGGCCCAGATCGTGCCCGATCCAACAACTGCGTAGCAACGACCTCTACGGTCCTATATGCTGATCGACACACGTCACTCGCCTTGGGAAGACGAAATGACGCCGAGTGAACCGACCAGTCCTCTCGTTGCAACTCATTGGTTTGCCCAACCTCCTGACCCAGCGAACGTGTGGCCTGGCTCACCCTGATCCGTCATTTCGGAGGCTCGTGTCAAGCACGACCCAAATCCAACACCGAGACCTATCTCCTCCATGGATTCACAGACCAGTAAGGAGGTAGGGTAGGGGGCAAGGGTCTCCTCTTGTCCATTTACAGCAAAGACGCCAAAGCCGTGGCCAAAGCCTCCTTATGGAAAGATGCACCACAACACCCCTCAGAGAAAGGAACGAAGTCAAGTCGATGCCACTACAGGCCACGAAACATCCAGAAGGCCCAATGGTGCCTCCCAATACAACCGACGCACTCCCTTCGGCCAAAGCCGAGGTCCCTAGCTCAAACCTTCACCACAACCTCGGGTGTGGGGGGCAAATGATGTAGGTGCACATGGTCTCGCCCTATGGCGGGCCTACACGTGTTAGGCAGCATGAGCGGACCCAATCAGGGCACGCACAGAATGGAGCTCGGCGAGCTTTCCAGAACCAATAGCACGGAGTCACCTAGCAGCCTCGGATGGCCGCGCTCCCTGCGTACGGACTACATCCGAACCTTCCAATTTCACTTACCTCCAAGCAGTCTCAAGTATAAATAGGAGTTGACCCCCTCAAGGTAAGGAACTAGAACTTGAACTCAAGAACAAGCATTTGAGAACTCATATTCTCCTTTGTTGCCTCGTGTTCATACCTCAAGCCTCGTCCACCTTATACCTCTCCTAGTATTAACTTGACTATCGGAGTCTCCACCTCGGGTACCAACCCGAGTCTTCTAACGTCCTCCTTCCTCCATTCCTCATAGGATCGGCTTAACAGTCCTCGGCCGCCTTGGGCCTCGGATTGCCCAACAACACCTCGACTTGAGAGTAAATTAGCAGTGTTGCCCTCGACGCATTTTGACCGGCAACAGTACTTCCAAACTGAGCTTTATGTTTTAAACTTTTAATTATGTAATAGAGGGTGGGCTTTGGCACAACAGTTGGATTGCTCTATTGTTATAATTATGTAACAGAACACCTTACTTTCCATTTTCCAATGCTATAATTTGAGTCATGTTGAATCTTAAAACATCATAATGCCAAATGCCCACTTAATCAGCAGGCAAGCAAATCAAGCACTGTATGCGTTTTGGTCCAAGGAGTTCAAATCGTCCCTTTCTAGGATCTGCTAGTAACCCATGTTTTTAAATCTGATCTGATGCTGACCTGACCTGGTTATCTATCCATGTCGTTAACTGGTTCCATCATCTAGGTTGGAATGGATCAAAGGATTAAAACAAATCTTACACTTACATGAAAACCTCAGAGTGCCCATAACTGGCTATTTACAGGTCATTTGAAGGGGCTATCCACTTTAGTCTCTTTGAACAGTTTATCCAGAGCACTGAAAGCAGCAGAACCAGGTAAGCCCTTCCAAATAGGCACAGAGCCTAAGCTGGTTCAGCTGCTTTGAGGTGTGTACCATATAAGCTATCTTAACAAAAAGAAAGGCTGAAGTGAAAGTGACAGCCCAAAAAATGGCATTGAATCTTCAGCTCAGTCCTCCCAAATGGGTCCTTTTATGTGAATGAAGCCCAGCTCTTTCCCAAACGGATACTGAATCTTCAGCTCAGCCCTCCCAAACAGGTCCTTATATGTGAATAAAGGCTGAAGCCCAGGCCTGGGTTAAGCCCAGCGAAGATCCGGGCCCTGATCCCCCTATCTGTACCCCCATACGAAATCAAATTTGCTACTCTTTAAAACCCAAAAGGGATCTCTAGCAAGGTTCCTCTTCTCATTTTCTGTTTATGAAAAAGCAGGTCAAAACACCTTGCACGAGTGCAAAACAAATCCATGTAAGTTTTATACTAAAGAGGTTAAGGGTTAGGTTAGATGGACTAAGAGATTGAAGAGATGTAACCAATCCAATAGACCCCATGTTTAGGATTGGTCCAGATCCCACCCAATTAATGAACGAAATGATCCTACCTCTATTTTTTTTTTTTTTTATTTCCCAATATCTAAGCAGTTGATATGATGAACAAGATTCTCTGATTCTCACCATGTACTTGGCAGTATTAGATTAGTGATTGTTTTAAGGACAAGTAAATAAAATGATATCGCAGTATGAACTTCTGTTTCCATATACAAAAAGTCTGATATATATATATTTTTTTTCCATTAATGAAGCCTGAAGAAGGCCATGGGAGAATCATAGACCATTTGTTTAGCATTCATGGCCATAACAAAATCAGCATGGGCGTAGTCTTCCTGATACTGAACCACAAGCTTATCCCTATCATGGTCCTTGAGGCTGTACAATAAGGCCTGAATATCATTAACATCTGAAAGCTTATCCTTTCCTCCATAGCTGAGATAGAGAGGAATGTCACTGGGAATGCCAGACATGTTGTATACAGGGGGAGTGGGCTGTCCATAGTGCTTCACGTTTTTGTCCTTATCGCCATAGTCATACATTGTTATACTGCCACCTCTAATCACTTAACCAGCAAACCAAGAGCCCAGAAAGCTTTAGCTTCCAGAGAAGATATTCCATGTGCATGAAAAATAGTAATATGAAGTCCTGCTTCTTATGTGGAGCAGGAACTCAAAAGCTCACTCTGTGCCAAGTGGATCATGTTCTTGGTTGCTGTTGATTGAGGCTCATATTCAAGGAAAAAATCGACAGTGGAGGAGTTGAGACAACAATTCTTGCCTTCAGATGGTGTTCAAATCCGTGGAAAGTCAGTAGGATAGATTTAACAGTAGAATTTCAAGTAAAGGCAGTACCTGTGAAAGAGGTGAATAAGTTGTAGCAGTTGATACCCGGTTTGTTGCAGATAGCTTTTAGAAGCTTATCTACGGCTTTCCTGTTATTAACAAAAACTTTTTTCTCAATAATTCATTGTTGGGAATTTTAGAGATATATATGGAACATCTTGTTTTTGTGCACCATGAAGAAAAATATTGAAGTAACTCAAACAAAGGAGAAGCTAATAATGTATGAGAGAAGATAATAATGTATGTGTATGTATGTATGTATGTATGTATGTATGTATGTATGTATGTATGTATGTATGAGATGGTGAGAAAAAAGGAGAGTAGCATTCAGACCCTTTTGGATCGAATTCATCTACACCCAACCTCCAAGGGAAAGAAGTAGTACACATGAAAAAGCAGAAACAGGTTGTAATTAGCAAGTAGAATTCCAACTTCCAAGGGAAAGAAGTAGTACACATGAAAAAAAGTTTGTAATAATCTGAATATTTACTTCAGCAATGAAGACTTCAGCGGCACTTCGGGCAAGTGGGCAGGGCACTTGACCCAGGTATGCAATTGGGCTCAGCAAAGCAGCAGATTTTAGTAAGTTGAGCAACTTTTCTTGGGAAAATGAGGCCAAGGCAATCAAGGTTCCCTTGATTCCAACAATACCCAAAATGCAATTCAGTATAATAGTATGAATGGCAAATAAGCAACAAAGAATGGAGAATTCATTCACCTGGGAATGACCAACATAGTAGATCTTCTTTCCCGTTTGGTGATGAACATACTGAAATGTAGCAGGAAGATCATATTCCACAAATTGATCCCAGGACCAATCCCAGTATGCCTACATTGAAAGATGCCAATATATCATGACATCTACAGCCCCTGTTCGCTTTTCAGTAAGTTACTTATCTGGTTAAGTGCATTACCCATGTTCTTTTATTTCTGAAGTAAATAAGACAACGATCATTTTAATCATAAAATCCCATTAATAAAAGGACTCCGGATCACCTGCCCATGAGAACTCTGCCCACATCTACCCACAACACACTACTCTCGTGAATTGGGAACATCTCCCCGTGAATAATAGTATGTAGGAGGATGAAATGTTCTCCATATGTGGCTGTGATGTTATGTGGATAGATATAGGCAGACTTTGTGTGGGCAGGAGATCCAGACTCTTTCCCCCTTTCAAAATCCAAAAGACAAAAGTTCCCTATATGTAAAAAGAAGAAGAAGAAGAAGAGAAACGTATTAACTGGGTCATCAGAACTTAGGGATGTATGTCCACGGCTCCATTTTGTTCCACGACTGTTGGCAATCCACACATCAAACCCGCCATCAGCCAAGATGAATGCTAAAGACTGATGAGGAAGATTGAGCAGCCATATTGCCCCATCCTACCACCCAAATTCAAATAACGTTATCACGCAAATATGTAGAGCGCAAAACTGAGCCTAAATTATATATGCTTGAGCCTTAAGGCTAATTAGCATTTACCACGAGGACGCCATGCTGCAACAAAACAGGTCTCCTCTCCTGAGGTGTATCGCCTGATGACCGTCCAGCTGGGATTCTTTGCAGACTGAGTATATAACCATCTTCTGTTGTCACCTGATGTTCCAAACTTGATAATCAGCAAACCAATTCATTAAATAAGCATCTCAATTATAATTAAATTGGAGAAAACAGTAGTACAGTACAGTATGTTCTTGGCAGACATATCCATGTATCTCCACCATTGACTTGCATATACCATAATTGGCTACTTGGGGCAATGGAGCCAACCCAGCCTCCTGGTTTACATCTAGTTCTTGGGTTCTCGCTCCAGGTGCTGACCCACAGAATATAATCACCAATAACACTAATCTTAAGACTGTGGCCATGTCTGATTAAATCTTGAGACAATAACAATATATTGTCTTACATTTAAAGGGGGCTGAGAGAAGATAAATACCAATTTGAGGGTGTATTTGGTGTGATTAAGCAAAGGAATCTTGTGAAACTCCTCGCCTCTACGAACTGACTGAAAGAAAGAAAAGTTATCTGATGGGGTGTATTGGCATACAATATAACACCCAACTGATGATGGGCTTTAGTATGTTCGTCTTGGGAAGAACTTTGTAACCAATTGTTCATTTATCATGTTTCTGGAGTGATCATGGCTTCGTGAGTCTGTTAAGAGAGTGAGAAGTGCTTTGTATCTGAAACAGGTTGTAACAACTGAATGGGATATGCATGTTTTGTATCGCCATAACCACCGTCAAGCTTTTCATCTTGTTTGTGTTTGGTTGCAGTACAAATTTATTTGCACTAGTACAAATGCAAGGGAGTGCAAAAGAAAAAATGAAAATTCTTATTTAATTTTGTTTAGGATTTTACTTTATTCTGCTTCACGTCTTAATTTACTTTATTTGTACTGCAATCAAACAAAAAAAGCTAAATTTTGAAACAAAAATAGCTCAGAATTTACACTAAAATTATTTGCACTGCCATGATTTTGCATCAGTGCAAATTTATCTGCATTGCAACCAAAAACAGCCTAGAGGACACTTTTCATTAAGAATTCAAATTGATTTTTGGCCCGGTCACCCATTGAAATTAGGGGTTTTTATTGTTCAGTCTATGCCAGAAATCCTATCTCCATCATACAGTTGGAGGTAGGTGCCAGCTCGGAATTGATGCCAATTCATAAGCGGGTATGGGTGTTATAGGTGGAGTTGTTCATAAATTTGAATTGTTGTAGGTCTGCAGTTCAAATCAGAATTTTGAGGTAGAGTACAGTCTAAAAATCCCTTGAAATTAAGGTGGATCTTGAAATCCTGATCATTCTAATCCAAGAGAGGTGGTAAATTCTGGTGGGCCCCCGGGCCCAAGCTTTTGCCCCACCTAAATAAGGGGTGTAAATGTATCGGATCCTATCTCCGATTCTATTTTGTCGGATTCAGATGTGTGTATGATGAAAATAGTTGAAAAAGTATTTGTATTTTTTGTATTTTTTTTTTTATTTAAACTGATACATTTTCATTGTTGCTCCAATTTTCACTACTCCTTTTCCGCGTTTCAGTAGCTGTACCTGTAAATAACAATCCTGCGATGCAATATTTCAGCCGATACCTTTAAATCTTCATAAACCAAAAATCCCTCAGTTGTGTGCAATATTCTGTCACATATAAGTTGAGTTTCATCAGCAAGTGGTAGATAAAGAATCTGGGTTCAGTTTTCTAAACCCCGCCCATTTGCCCGAAGAGACAAAAGTAAACAAGAAATTGGACTGAAGTTTGGTTATGACAAAAAAAGAATGAAGCATCCTATTGTTTTCGTCCTCAAGTCTAAGGGGGAATATTAAGAGGATGCTAGTATTATTCTATTTTGCGAAAGCACAAGATACATTTGAAAAATGGGGTATAGGGTTTATGCTAGCTGACGTAAACGATTTTAGAAGACAAATTCCGAAGACATTCATCAATCATGCATCAGCCCCCAACAATTTCATTTGAATTTCCCACAACTAACCAGCTCAAGTCATACCTGCAATTGAGCGTGGGAAGGAAACAGGATAGGGATGTCAACGTCCCAGGTTAAACTGTAATGTTGGTTTGATCGAACTTATAGGATGGGGCTAGAGTCAGGCTTACTTGGGTGTAGGGTCAAGAATCGAGTAAGGGGTTTTGATTCTTCGATCCGAATTGGATTTGGGTTTTCTTGATTCCGCCTATTGGGTCATAATACCCCAACATATATAAATGATATTCTTGCAAGATATGGCTTTTAAATTCTAACTTCATGACCTTTAAAAAGATTTTTCTTTTTTCTTTTTATGTTTGTGTTCGGGTGATGGTTGAGTTGGTTAAGGATGTCATGTGGCTATCTCCATTGCCATCCTTTCTCTCTAGTTACGTTAATACTACGTGTGATGGAAGAGCACGACTAAGGAGTATCCTGTACAGACAAGGAAGCAGATTCCGTTGAGGAAGAGGAAACCTCCCGAAGACCTTGATGGATGACCTCATCTCGACAACCCCGGAAGCCCTATCCATCTATGACACAGACCCCCAACTATAAATAGGTATTCCCTGCTTGAGGTACGGGACCTTTGGGAGAACATTCTTTGAATACGTCTCTGCACTATCTCTTTGGCTCAGACCAACATTATTTCAACCTGCTTGGCCTGGCCACTTATTTCTCTACCGAATTGACTTGAGTGTCAGAGTACCTACCCGGGGAATAACTCATCGGGCCTCTGACCTTTTGCCTGGTTGTAGATCTTAATGCGTGGCTTTGACCTTCCACCTCAGCCTTGTCCAGTTGGCAGCATTACCTGATAGTGTCCTCGGTTTGGAACACCTCGAATCGGACAACATTAGATTGGCGTCGCCTATGGGAACACATTCAAAACAACCATGCCTGAAAACACATCCGACAACTCTAGAGCTTGTTCCCTATCTTGGGGATCCCGCCCACTTCACAATTCTCCACCTCGAGAACCCCAACATCAGGCTACAGTTGATCTCACGCAATTCCAAGCCATGCAGCAAAAATTCGACCACATCCTAACCATGATGGAGACGCTGGGGCAACCAGCTCACGCTCCCCAAGCTACTCGCCCGGCCACGTAGGCGCCTACTTTAGCTGATCCTCGCACCAAGGACCCCAAAAGGCGCCACGCGAATAGGCACAGGACAGAGTTTGACCACGAATGACCGTAGCCATCTAAAAGATCTGACTCCCCAGCCCGACCTCATGCACATGACGCCCACAATAAATTCCATCACTTCGCCTGAGTACCAGCTAAAAAACGGATCAATCAATGTCTATCGCAATCGCCAATCTCGATAGCCGAATCCAGCTTGGTCCGAGATCGGTCTTCAATTCCAAAACAGGAGAAATCCGTGAATGTGGTCCCACCCGATAGAGACGTCGAGATCAGAGAACTAAGAGAGCGCTTGGCCGAACTAGAGCGCAACCAAGCGGATAGAAGCATTGCCCTCCCAACAACTCAACCAACAAAGCAATACCATGGTCAACAACCCACAAAAGAGCATGTCTTTGTCTAAGAGATTGTTAACGAGCTCCCCCTATTCGGATGGCAACCTCCTCAGTTTGAGAAGTATGATGGAGCCTCGGACCCCAACGACCACATTGAGGGATTTAAGGTGATAATGATGTTGCATGACTCTTTCGAAAGCCTCATGTGCAAGGCCTTCGTCACCACCCTCCACGGAATCGCCAAAACCTACTACGCCTCCTTTCCTCCGTGGTTCATATCCTCTTAGGAGCAGCTGAAGATGTAGTTTCTGGCGTAGTTCACCACCAGCCAAAGGCACTAAAAGATGTCGGCCAACCTCATGCAAGCGCAACAAAGGAAATGAGAGACTTTGAGGGAATACTTGGTGGGGTTCAAGGCCAAGACCCTCCAGGTCTGAGCTCTAAACTAGTTAGTATCTGTGACTACCATAATGAGCGGGCTGCACTCCTCGATGTTCATCTTCTCTTTGCAAAAGAACTCTCCACCCAACCTGACTGTGTTGATGAAGCACACACAAAAGTATATGAATGCCAAAGAGGCCCACGCACTGCGTAGGGAGGATGAAGACCAGCACAACCAGAAGCATAGAGACCACGATGGTCAAAGATTGGACCAAGAAACCAAGAGGTTGGATCGCCAACCTGACCGTAGACTGAGGACACCACCGCCAACGTATCACAACTTCACTCCACAGACTCACATACTGATGCAAATCTGCGACCACAACTTCGTCAAGTGGCTCGAGAAGATGAAAACCTAGTGCCGAAGCTAAAATGTATTGATGAACATCAGCGCTGACACTAACGGTGGCCAAACTATACAAATTCAATAAATAAAGAATCCTCTTCAAGCACAAACGACCAAACGCTCGTGCATAACCCTGTCGAACTCTGCGTTGAACAACGACCACAGCGCAATAACAACCCCTTGAAAGATTCGATCGACCACAAACAGTCGAGGCCAAGACAAGCCCCCGACGGGCACCGCAAGAACGATAACCCTACCACATGATGGAAAGAGGATGGCCATCGAATTCCGTGCACCCACCTGACTCGTAGTCGAAGCAGAGCTAACTGAGGATCACTACTAGCCAAACCAAAGAGCATATAACTCTCCAAGATCAAGTGCCACCGAGCTCCTTGGCAAAGTTGAGATCTTGGAAGCACCTTGGCTAGCATAAGACTAGGGCCACTAAGCCAGGGACCTCGACTAGCATAAAACCGAGGCCATTAAACCAAAAACCTCGATTAAGTGAAGATCGAAGACCTTCGACTAGATTGAAATCCAAGTACAAAAGCAGAGCCTACACTCCTACCGATCGACCTAATTCCAAAGCGCAACAACTTAGAAAAAGGGGAAAACAACATAGAAAGTCCTCGGTATGAAGGCCAAATTTCCATTAATGAAAAAAGTTTATACATTGATTGTAGGCTTGACATACCGAACTGTATACAACAAAAAAAGGAGAAAAAAGAGCGCATAAACTGTCCGTTAGGGGATCCTCGACTCGCTCCTGGGTGTCCGCAACAACGGCATCCCCATCAGACACTTCGGCATCAAACGGGTCGAGCTCTTGAACGACTTCGGCCACCTCTAGGAAGTGACACATCACCCTACGTTGATAAAGAGTGATCCCTCCTGCCAAGAGTCAATAGCATAGTCATCCAGCTCATCTTGATGGGCCTCCAAAGCCCTATACTCGGAGACGCCCTCCTCCTCTGCCCAAGCAATCATTGCTTCGGCCTCCTCGAGCCCCTCCTCAATACATCTCGCGCCTCCTTGAGATCATGAATGCTTCCCTTCAGCTTACAAACAATGTCGTCCCTCTCCTCAACGTTATGCTTCAGCTCGACCAAC